AGGTCCTCGTCCGAGTCCGCGCCGTCGTTGTCGTCGTCGTCGATTCGGCGGCCGTCGTCTCCGATCCGGAAGCCGCACCCCTCAAAGGTGCGCTCGTCGTCCACGGCAGCGTGCCTCACCCAGCGCAAAGCCTCCGCGCGGGTGACTCCCGTCCCCTCGCCGTCCGCCACGTCGGCGAGCCGCGCCCTCGCCCGCGCCGACAGCCCGTACGGCACGCCGCGCCGCCGTATCGAGGCGCCCAGCTCGGAGAGTGCCGACTGCGTCACTCGCTCCCGCTCCTGCGGCGCGCCAGAGTCAGATCTGAAGGCGGCATCGTGCGTGGTACTGGAAGTGGTACTGGAGGCATCGCGTGGAGAAGGGCTATGATGAATGCAGTCGAATACGCGTCCTCTTGAGTGCCGTGCGGGATCTGTACTCATCTAGACTGCCTCTCCTCCTCGTACTCGGCCTGCGACTGCAGCCCAAAGCTAGGCATCTCGGTGCGGTGCAGCAGGCCGGTGCAGAGACGCATCGCGATCGTCGCCGCCAGCGGCGACAGCGCCGCGAGCACCGTGCGCGCGAGCCACCGCAGCCACTCGAGCAGGTGATGCAGCGCCGCGCCGCGCCGCCGCTCCGCCCTCCTCCGAGCCTCCAACCAGTAGGCTTCCGGTCCCGCGCGAAGTTCCGCGGCTCCCGACACCAACCGCGCCGCTTCCGCCGCCGCATCCTCCGCCAGATGAGACGTCTCTGGCGGCAGCGGGGCCGGCGCTCCTGAGGAGCCGGCGGCGGCGACGAGGTAGGCACAGACAAGCAGGCACACTGCGCCGAGGACGCAGAGGACCGTGCCGAGGGCCCGTTTCGCGTCGCGGCCGCGGCTCTGGAGTGCCGTCATGAGCAGCTTCGGAGACTGGAGCGCGAGCAGGAACAGGAGGCAGTACAGCGGCGAGAGCGCAGGTCGAACAGCACACGCAGCGCACGTGAAGAGAACGCCGCCGCGGGCGGCGTAGCGTATGAGCCGTGCACGCAGCAGCTTCTGGCTGGGAGTCAACAGCGACATTTTGCCAGCCTCAGCCTCAAGCCAGCGGGAGGCGGAGGACGGTGGTGGAGGTGGGAATAATGCAAGCCTCCCGTCGTTTCCGGCCGCGCCCTGAAATAAAGAAAGCACTGAGCTGGTGGTCCACGGAGGACCGCGCTGCCTGTCGCTGTCCGTTGTCAGGACCAGGAGAACCCCCTGCGCCCCTGATCGTCCCCAAATCCCTGCTCGTGCAGGTGTGCGACTGTGCGTGTGGCGTGTGGGGACCACCCTTCCTCCTCCCAAGTCCCATCCCTCGTTTGGGCTGTCTGTTTTCTTTCTTTCTTTACCACTCGACTGGAGGAGCCAGGCACGCTAAAGCGCCTCGGCCGCAACGGCTTCGTCCAACAAGGCGCCAGCGCAGAGGGCAGCCCCAGCGCCTCCCCTCCTCTCCACTGCACCGTCCCGCCTCGGCGGCCTTGCCTCTCGCGCCTCGGCGCTGGCGCCTGCTCCGCGCCGCCGGCCGGCGGAGCACGGCGCTGCACACAGCAGGCGCTGCCGCCTGCCCCTGCGCTTGCCTCGCCGCCACAAGCTCGACGTCTCCACCGCGCCGATCGGCCACGTGCGGACGGTCCCGCCTCCCGTGCCGCTGCCCGAGGCGGCAGGCTGCCGGCGCAGCAGCGGCCACCACCCGGGGCCTGGCTCGAGGCGGCCGGCGTCCGCCGCATCCGAAGAGCGGTTGGCAGGCTCGGAGCCGAGGCGCCGCTGCCCTCGCGGGGCCGCCGGCTCGGACCAGCCCTGGTGGCTCGTCGACAGCTTGTCCCAGCAGCGCGCGCGCCCCCACGCGCACTGAAAGAGCTGCCCGCTGCCTGCCGCGCCGCGCGAGCCGTCGGCCGGCTCGCCTCCAAACTGCCTCCGCCACAGCGCGGCGAAGCGTCGCACCGCCGCCTCGTAGAGCAGCCTGTCTGGCCGCAGGTCGGAGGAGAGGGCGCGCGCCTGAGCCGAGAGGGGTCGAGCAGTCGGGGCCCGTCCCGGTCTCCGCCTGTGTACCCTCGGGCCGAGAGGCTGAGGGCGGAGGGAGAGGGAGGAAGAACGACACGGCAGGGAGGGAGGGGCGCACGGCGCGGGCCGAGAGGTTGGCCGCCGCACGTGAGTCGCGCGGGTTGTAGGTGTAGACCGCGGGGAAGTGCCCCAGCCGCAGGTCCAGCGCCGCGTCGAGCAGCGCCAGCGAGCGCGAAAACTCCTCCGTCAGCGCGACGAGAGGCAGCCGCGCCACGCGCGCCAAGGCGCGCTGCAGCCGCGCCGCCTCGGTGTCGCGGCGGCCGAGGGGCGGCGCCAGCAGGTCGAGGTAGACGTTGAGGCCGCACGCGCGCCGCTCGGCCGCCGGGAAGCGCGCAAACCTCTCGAGCGAGAGGGCGGCGCGGCGCAGCCAGCGGCGCAGCCGGCTCCCGCGAGGGCAGTCGAAGTGCTGGTGGTCCTCGACAGAGGTGGCAAAGGCGGAGCGCAAACGCGCCAGCGGCTCGCGGAAGCTCATCAGCCACGCGCAGCACTCCTGCTCCACATCGCACTTGGCTGCGAGCTCTGCTGACGACCGGTGACCTCCGTGGTAGAGGATGCTGCCGCCGGCGACCTCTGGCCGGGCGAGCACGTCGTACAACCGCCTGCGCGGCTGGAACAGCGAGCCGATGGTGCTGCCGCCGGTCTTTGGCGGATGGATGAAGAGCAGCGTCGCGCGAGGAGCCGTGCTGTCGCGAGCCGCGGCGGTGGCCGGCATTGACGTAAACACAAACACCTGCCGCAGGCCAGCAAGCGAATTCGGGCTCGCGACACAGTGCGGGGTCAATACAACTACCGTCCCTCTCATGAACGCACTCCTCCTCCCCTCCACCCACCCACACTTGCAGTCGATTGCAGTCCTCGACATCGACCGTAGCTGCTATCCCGCAGACCGGCACGCGGATCACAGCGGCCCTCCACCCCCGTACCTACATGTACCCTCAGTCCCTAGTTTAAGACCGTGTTCGAAGAGACGCCAATCGCACCAGCCCAGTGGTCATTGTCACGCGCGAGACGCTGCGGCGTGCGTCGCATTCGGCGTTATGCCGCCTCTCCACCCGTGTACTCGCCGTCGGCCTCCGAGCCGCTGAGCGACTCATCGCACTCATCCTCACTGGATCGCGGGTCGCGGCGCCAAGGCTCGTTGCCCAGCATGCCCGCTTGGCCAAAGAACTCGTATGCTCGTCCAAAGCCGCGCGTCGGATCGTGCGGAGCTTTGAGCCCATAGCCAAGCGCGTCGAGAATGGGGTCAAAGATCGAATCTCGCACGACCGTGTCGCCCCAGCTCACTGAAGCCCAGCCGCGCACAAGCGTGTCGTTCACATCGCAATGGGAAGGTCCACATCTCTCAAATCGATCCCACAGGTACCACAAAAGCGCTCCGCGCATGACTTCATCGGAGAAGGCTTCGGCTGCGTGTTCTGTGCAATGGTTGTTGGCGAGCATGCTGCAAAAGTAGGGCTTCGTGATGCACGCGCCCGTGTCGGCCTCCTCCTCAAACTTGGCCGTCACTCGCTTGCGGTAATCGATGAGGCGGGTGAATTGCTCGTGAGGCTGCTGCCCCCGCCAGGCCGGGGTGCGCCGAGGATCGGCCCATTCTGCGGGCACGTCGCTGTCGATGTACGGGGCCTCCTGCCAGCCGCACTGGAACGACACAGACAGCCGCTCGGCGTGCACAGACCAGACGTGGGCGTCTGCCGTATCGCTGCAGATGGTGTTGAAGCGGTGGCATGTGGAGCCGAAGGAGAGTATGCTCGCGCTGCTGGGCACGCTGCGCACGACGAGCCGAACCAACTCGTCATCAAGCCATTCAAAGAGCGCCATCGTGATGGGCACGCTTCACCGACAGTGTTGATGGGTGGTGGGCCCCGGGGGGGCGGTAGGCACACGCGCAAAAATTTCTTTTTTCTCTTTGTCCGCGCGCGAATTCTTTCCGCCAAGCTGCGCTCGATCAGCGGGTAGGAAATGAACGGTCCCAACGAGGGGCCGGAATCCGAGGCAGCCGCCCACGCAGGGTACCCTAAACCGAGGACCCATTTGGGACTCGTTGGGGCTCTGCTCGACGTGCCGCTGCGAGCGAAGATTTCCGCATGAGTTTGCTGGCCTCGACGCTCGCGCTGATCGGAGTGGCTCCGCTCGTCTCTCACCTCCGCGGCTCCGGGAGCACGCCGCTGCTCCTCGTCGACGGCAACAACCTCCGAGGCGCCACCATGTTCGCACTGTCTCAGGAGGCGCTCGCCTCGGAGCTGGCGCGGTGGGCCGCAGCGGCGGAGCTGCCGTGCGTGCTCGTCCTCGACCACGGGACGGAGCAGCGGTGCTGGCCACTCGGAGACTTTCTCTCCGTCACGCTCGCTGGCCCCGCGCAGAGCGCCGACGACGCGCTCGTGCGCGACACAAACTGGGCGCTCCGCGCCGGCCTCGACGTCACCGTCTTCACCTCAGACCGCGGTCTCACCTCACGCGTCCGCAGGCAAAAGAGCCTGGGGACGGTGCAGGCGACGATCGCGTGCGGTGGAACCGCACCCTGTCCCGCGCAGCGCCGCTGACCTTCCTCTGAGCTGAGCATAGGTCGTCGCCTCCGCAGCGCTCGCGCGGCTTCTGTGGGACTTTGAGCGCTCCGGCGGCGGGGGCGGAGAGAGCACGGCGCAGCGCGCCCGCGGTGCGGAGCGCCTCGCGCTGTGGCTCGACGCCGCCGCCGAGGCGGCCGGCGAGGCGTCGGCGTCGGGTGTGCCCGCGCCAGTGCTGCGCGACTACGCGAGATACCTTGCCACCGCTCCAGTGGGGGCGCGCGACCCAGCGGTGCCGTCGCCGAGCATGAAGCGGCGGCTGCGCCGGCAGCGAAAACATCGCTCCTTTTTCAAGGGCGGCGAGGCGAGCGCGTCGCCCTTAGCCAACGGGTAGCTGGGGTTTGTGTGAACTATATATGCATCACCAATGTATCGCTTACGCTTATCGGTCGGACTCGGGAGAGACACCTCTGACTCCTCTGTACAACCTCTGCCGCGAACGGGGATAGCTCTTCATCTGTGAAAGGACGACGCTTAGGCCGCGCCAGAGCTGCCCCCGCCCGCGCGCGGCGCCGCCATCAGAGCGGGCTGCGCCACAGCGACGAGGCTTGAGGCGAGCAGCAGCAGCAGCAACAACCAGCGGCAGCAGCCCCCACCGGAGGGTCCCTCCTCCTCGTCCGGCTCCTCCACCACCACGTCCAGCAAGCCGCGCCGGAAGCTGACGACGACGCGCGCGGGCGGCACCGCAGCGCCGCGCCGACGGCGCGGCGGCGGCGCGCCACAGCGGGCGGCGAGCACCGGCGTGCCTTGCGCGGCGGACGGCCCCTCGTCGCCGACCTCGAAGAGGCGGAGGAGCTGCCCGCCGGGCGGCCGCCCCACCTCGAGCTCGACCTCGCAGTTGACGGCGCTGCCCGCGGGCAGCAGCACCGTCGGCGCCTCCCCCGGCCGCTCGAGCGCCACGGCGCGCCCGAGCGGCTCCTGAGGCGCCGCCCAACCTTGCTTGCTCAGCGTGCGCGCGACGCGAGGGTCCGACGCCGCGGCGAGCGTCGCGGCTCCGTAGGTGATGTCGACGGCAGTGGCGCGGAGCAGCGCCGCCGCCCCCTCCGCAGCCGGCCCCGGCCTCGCCTCTGTTCCCGCGGCCGGCAGCCCCTCAGGCTGCGGCAGCACCTGACGCAGCACCTGACGCAGCTCCCTCTCCACGAGGCACGCGAGGCCGAGCAAGTCGTCCTCGAGCGGCTCCGCGAGGCAGAGCACCGCCGCGCGGACAGCGCAGCGCGCCCCCTCCCCCTCCCCTCCCTCCTCGAGGGCGGTGCGCAGTAGGCCCGCCGCCTGCTCCGCCGCCTCCTCGGCCAACTCCTCCCCCTCGCCCGCCGCCAGCTGCAACTCAAACTCGCGCACCGACCCGTCCTCGCGCGCGAGAGAGACGGAGTGGCGGACCGGCTCGTGCGGCGCCTCGGAGGCAGGCGTCATCTGGGAGGCAGCCCTCCTCTCCGCCAGCTTGGCCAGCACCGCCTACACCCGCGCGGCACCTCTGTCTCTCTCTCTCTCGACGGCGTCGCGCGGTAAAGCGGCGGCCCGGGGGCGCCTCGGATGCGACGGCGAGCGCAACGCGGTTGAAGGGCGAGCCGAGGCAGCCGCTCACCTCCTCCTCTTCCTCGAGCTGACGCAGCAGCAGCCCCGCCACGCGCCTACCCGAAGGCTCCGAGAGGGCGCTGCAGCGAGGCACCACGCGTGGGGCGGCAGCACTGCTGCCGCCGCGCCGCTCGAGGGAGGTGACGCCCACGCCCTCGCTCGTCACCGTACGCACGACCTCCCACCCGCCTCCGGGGGAGACGGCCCGCCGCGCCACGGACACCGCAAGCCCGCTCGCGCCCCAAATCACGACCGCCGCCGTGTCGTCGCCGCCTCCGCACGCCCTCGCGAGAAGAGGCTGCAGCCGCGGCGCGGCGAGCAACGCGGCGGCCTACTCACAGCCATGCGCTGTGAACAGCGCCTCCTCACTGCAGCCGCCGCATGCAGACTAGACGCGGCGGCCCAAGACGGGAAATCTCGGCCACTCTCGGCTAGATCTCGGCTAGGTCTCGGCTAGATCTCGGCTAGATCTCGGCTAGATCTCGGCTAGGTCTCGGCTAGATCTCGGCTAGATCTCGGCTAGATCTCGGCTAGATCTCGGCTAGATCTCGGCTAGGTCTCGGCTAGATCTCGGCTAGATCTCGGCCTCGCTCTCGACGGCAAGCACCGCGAGCCCGGCCATCACCGCCGCGTCGGCGACGGACTGGCGCGCGGCGAGGCTGGCGCCGGCAGGCACCGTGAGGACCGCGTGAGTCGGATCGGCGCCGGAGTCGTCGTCATGTGCGGCGGAGGCGGCGGCGGAGCGGAGAAGCTTTGCGAGCACCTGCAGCGGCGGGCCGGCGGCCGTGGGAGGGGAGGGGAGGGGAGGGGAGGGGAGGGGAGGGGAGGGGAGGGGAGGGGAGGGGAGGGGAGGGGAGGGGAGGAGGAGAGGGAGGAGGAGCCAGAAGGCGCGGCGCGGTCGGGAGGTCGCTGCTGAGGCTGCGGCGGGGCGAGCCGAGCCGAGAGAGAGAGGAGAGAGAGGGAGAGAGAGAGAGAGAGAGAGAGAGAGAGAGAGAGAGAGAGAGAGAGAGAGAGAGAGAGAGAGAGAGAGAGAGAGAGAGAGAGAGAGGCCGCCTCCTCGGGCGCCACCATCGTCTCCACCTCGAGAATGCGCTTTTTATCCGTCTTGGACCCCTTGTTGGCGGCGGCGGCGAGGCGACGGCGGACCTCCTTCTCGGAGCGCTCGTGGGAGAGGGCGAAGCGCGCGCGGCCGGCGGTGAAGCCTCCCTCGTCGCGGTCCGGTGCGAGCGGACAGGCAGAGAAGGCCTCCTCTGTCGAGAGCCACCGCGCGCCGTCCAGAGAGGAGTACGAGCGGCCGAGCAGTCGCGTCGGGCGCAGCAGCGTGTGCTGCGGCCGCCGGCTCCACTCAGCCGCCGCCGCCTCGCCCAGCAGCACGCTGCCCGGACGAACAAAGCACGCGGCCGCGCGAAGGCTCTTGCAGTCGCTGCCAGCCGAGGCGGCGTTGAGCGTAGCTGGCGCATTCGCCTGAGCGTCCCATCCGGCGAGAGATATCGCCCGCTCGCCCACGTGCACACCGATGGGAACCTGGCGACTGCCGAGGGGATCGGTGATCGCAAACTCACCATCAGCGGTCTCCAGGATCGTGGAAACATTGTCGAGGTTTGGCGCGACCTGCCCGGCTGGCGTGGCGACAACTTGCACGGGCGTTGGTAGCACGGTGGCGAGTCCGCCGCCGGTCCCGGAGGTGTGAGCGGAAAGTGACATATATACACCACGTGTATGTGCTCAGTTAGAACCTCTTCAGACCCAGGTTCCGACCTCTGCGTGGCCGACTCACACAGCGAGCGTTCCTGTCTCCCTGCTGCCGATTCATCGGTGGTGCTCAGTCAAGATATTGTAGAGACCGACCATATGCACAATATCTTGACTGAGAGCTAAGCCCAGTTCGACGATCGGCAGCCTCACCGCGGGTCGCGCCGCTGTGCAGCGAGAGCCAGGCTCGCCCGGCGAAGGTGACCAGAGAGTGCTCAACAAATACCAGAAAAAATCAGGGAGCCTCAGAGAGTGCCACTGCCACCATCCAGGCCGCGGGAGCCGATCGGCTGCGCCGAGGACAGCTCCCTCAGTGTGCTCCGCGCTCACCAGTGTGCGCGTCCAGCACTTTGGCGGCCAGCCACCGGACGAGTTCTTCGACTCTGGAGGACAGAAAGGTACCGTTTGAAAGGTATTTTCATGCTCTATTGACTGGCGAAAAAACCCCCCGCAAAATGTTTTCACAGCGGGCGTGATTCACAGGTAAGCATGAGCGAAGCATGGGGTCCGAAGAGGTTAGCACCACCTCTTCTTCGCGTCCGTCTCCCGAAAAGAATTCGAACGCCCGCACGACAGGGGTGTGGTAGGGGCCGAGAGCGAGGGGTCCGGGGGGGAGCACAAACATAGGACGCCCAGAATTGCCCTCGTGCCGCCGAGTGCATATCCTATGCGAGAGAGATCCCCTTTGCCCTGTGCCCAGAGCCCTCTCCGCGCGGCGATGCGCCCTCCCCCCTCGCTTTTGCAAAATCCTGCAAAGGTGGGGACGTGTCTGTCCTCGACCCAGCCCTAGCTTGGGATGTCCGTTGTATTTATTTATTTAGGGGCGCGGACTGGCGCGGATTGGGAGAGAGAGAGAGAGAGTTGTTTTGTCGGATTGGCACACGCCACACCGCACACCGGCTCCCGAAAAGAACTCGAGCGCCCAGGCCAAGACTCCGACGAAGCCTTCACATAAAACACAACCCTCCCGGACCCAAGACGCACAAGCACAGACAGTCGAGAACTCGAGACGGGATAGATAGCAAGAGAAAGACACGAAACCTTCACACAGAAAGCATTGAAAAAACGGGCGGCACCACGGGCCGCCACGGCGGATGGGGGTAGAGGGATGCGTAAACGCACGTGCGGACGGATAAAATTACGTGAACGCCGCTCACGGCAGCGCCTTTGCCCGTGCATACGCAGGGCGGCTGCGGCAACGCTCGAGGTAGGCGGCAAGGCCTTGCAGCTGCGGCGCCTCTCCGCTCCAGCGCTCGCCCCAGCCGATCGATTCGGCCCAGTTGCAGCAGTGGACCAGCAGGATGTCGGCCGCCGAGAATTGGCTGCCGAGCAGGTACTCGCCACCGGAGCGGCCCAGCTCGTCGGCGAGCACGTCCACCACCTTGTCGGCGTGCTTGCGAGCAACCTCGGTCGCCTCCGGGTTCGGCGCGCCGATGAATTTTGCCACGTCGCTCGCGTGCTTGCGGTGGATCCAGAGCGCCTGGCAGTCCAGCTCGCCGTAGATGGTTGCTATCAGCTGCTCGTAGCGGCCGCGCGCTGTCGTGGCGGGCGGCGGCACCAGCTCCAGCGCGGAGGTTCGGTACTTGTCGCCGAGATAGGTGTTTATCGCGACGCTCTCGTATATCGTAAACTCGCCGTCTATCAGCGTCGGTACCTTGCCAAAGGGATTGCTCGCGTTGGCCTCTGCAGAGCGCGGGCGCACCGGCTCGTGCACATACGGCACGCCGAGCTCCTCGAGCATCCACAGGTTGCGAAGCGGGCGGAAGCGGGCGCTACCGATGAGCCGGAGCGACATGTGATTTCCTCTTTGCGCAGCGAGAGACGAGCTTGTCGTTCTCGGACCTTGCTGTAAATCACCGCACTCTCTCCTTTCGACGCCAGATTGACACCGAGACTCACGCGGGCAGTCGAGCAAGCAAAAAGGCGAGAAAAGAATTTTACAACAAAACTCCCTCGCACAACACTGGGCACAGGACTGGGCACGGGACTGGCTCGCACTGGCACTAACACAGGTACACCACGAGAAAAGAATTCTTCGCTTTGAGGTCGCACGACACGATTCACGCGACAGGCGAGGCGCGGGCGACGGCAAAGAATTTTACAACCCACGCAAGGCGAGAAACGAAAAGCCAAAGGATAAACACCGTGTGCCATGCGCGGTTGGCGGTGCGGCTGCGGGGCGTGGACTCTGGACTGGCTCTAGGCACTGCGGTCTCAGACCTAGCTAGATCGACCTCTCTCTCTGGTGCACCACGGGCCGCGACGGCTGCTGGCAGCAGGCACGAAGAGGCAGTGTGCCGGCACAGTCGAGCCGGAGCATCGGGTTTTACTTGATGCTTATGGGGTCAAGTCTGACCTTATGCGGCCTAATATGCAATAATAATGCTATGCTCTCACTCAGTCTTTTGAGATATGATCCCTCAAAGTCGAATTTTTGTTTACTGGTGACCATAGTAGCGTCTAAAACCATAGTCGGTCTCAGACCTAGCTAGATTCTAGTTTCAAGAATGGCATTCTTCGAAGTAGAATGGGCGCCGCAGCGGCCCGTAGCGGCGCCCCCTGCGTGCCCACGGCCACCCCGGGGCCATGGGACATCCCCCCGGCCATCGGGGATGCTTGGTTTATCCATTACCCCATTTACACGGGCTGTGTTGCGGCGCGCCTCGAGACGCGCAGCGCAGCGCAGCGCGCAGTCCGCAGACCACAAAACAGATCAGAAGACGGCCGTGGCGACACCCGCTCTGGCGACAGCCCCGCAAAAGGCACTCGCTCGCCGGCAAGGACTACGGGTAGCACAGGCGGCAGCAGAGGTGGCGGTCCGGGTCGCAGCGCGCGTAGCAAGTCGGCCCCAGCGTCACGGGCGTCGGGCCAGGAGCCGGCTCGACGAGATCGAGACGAAGAGGACGAAGAGGAGGAAGACTACTCGAACTTGGACGAGGACTCGGGCGAGGAGCAGGACTCGGAGACCGGCCAGGGAAGCGACGACCATGACTAGGTGACACGAGGAGTAGATGTGACACGAGTAGTCCGCATTTCGCGCTGTCTGCTGTCTGCTCTCTTTCGCCGCCCGACCCTTTCGCCCGCCCACCACTTGCGAGCACAAATCTCACACCTCCACTGCCCTCGCCACAGGCGGCGACGGACTGACATCCAAGGCTCGAACGGCGGCAGCGCTCAACGGCCGCCGGCGGCCATCGTGCGTTTGCTTTTGCCATACGTGGCGCACCCCCCGGCGTCTGCTCTGGTTTGGGGGCGGGGGGAGGACTCTCATTTGCGGACTGTTGGGCTCTCTGTGTTGAACTGGGGCTTGTGCGCGAACCCCACCAGTCTGGCCGAGCGGCACGCCGCCGCTGGGGGCGTGAGAAGGCCGTGGGGGACGGCGGCGGACCCCATTCTTCGATACAGAATGGGCCCTCACCGCGGCCCGTCTGCTGCTGAAAATGTGGCATGTTGGGGGCTCTCCTGTGTGACTCCTCTGGCTCGCCGCGTTAAAGTGGCGCCTGTGTGTGACCAGCCCCAACCCCGGCAAGCGCCCCCCGGCCGCTGGGGCTGCGAGGCGGCCGGGTGAGCGCGCGCGAGACGCCATTCTAGATGTAAGGATGCCATTCTATAATCTAGAATGGCCAGGTAGGGCTGAGACCGACTGGGGACACGTCCCGCGGGACTCTCGGGTGCGGTTGGGGCTGCGGGCTGCGGGGGTGGGGTACGTATCTCGCAGCACATGACATGACTGTGCGCGACACATGCGCGGGAGACCGTGCCCGCGGGCGGGGGGGAGGCCCTCACGGCCTCCATTCCGACCGAGAGCAGCAACGGAGGGGGGCAGGAGGGCGCGCGGCAAGCCGCGGGGCTCAGCGCATAGCACGGGGCAACACTGACCGTCACTTGCACCCTTTCGCCCTTCTCATCACTGCCCCGGCGCCCACGCCGCGACCTTCTTGGGCAGCAGCTGGTCCGACACGTCCTCTCCGTGGCCTAGGCAGCCGTCCTCGCCCTCGCCCCACGTGAAGACGGCGCCGTCGGCGGTGCGGGCGATGCTGTGGTATACTCCAGCCGACACAGCGACGACGCGCTGGCCAGCAAAGGCCTCGACCTTCTTCGGCTGCCACTGGTCCTCCTCGTCGCTGCCCCAGGACCAAAGGGCGCCGTCGGCGGTGATGACGAGGCTGTGCTCCCCTCCCGCCGAGAGAGCGACGACCCGCTGCCCAGCCAACGCCTCGACCTTCTTGGGCAGCAGCTGCTGCTGCTCGTCGCCGTGGCCAAGCTTGCCCCAGTCTCCACCGCCCCAGACGGCGCCGTCGACGGTGAGGGCGAGGCTGTGCCGTGCTCCCGCCGACACACCGATGACGCGCCGCCCCGCCAACAGCTCGATCTTCTTGGGCAGCAGCTGGCCCTGCTGGTCGCCGTGGCCAAGCTTGCCCCAGTCTCCACGGCCCCAGCTCCAGACAGCGCCGTCGGCGGTGGTGGCGAGGCTGTGGGTTCCTCCAGCCGACACAGCGACGACGCGCTGGCCAGCAAAGGCCTCGACCTTCTTGGGCAGCAGCTGGTGCTGCTCGTCGCCGTGGCCCAAGCGGCCGTCGCCTCCATGGCCCCAGCTCCAGAGAGCGCCGACGGCGGTGATGGCGAGACTGTGCGCGGCTCCAGCCGACACAGCGACGGCGCGCCGCCCCGCGAAGGCCTCGACCTTCTTCGGCAGCAGCTGGGTCTGCCGGTCGCCGTGGCCCAGCGGGCCAAAGCCTCCCTCGCCCCAGCTCCAGACGCTGCCGTCGGCGGTGAGAGCGAGGCTTTGCGCGTCTCCAGCCGACACGCTCACGACGCGCTCATCCAGCGTCGACGGGAGGCGGGTCGGCGTGTTGAGCCGCGTCACGCCCTCGCCGTGCCCGAGGAGCCCTGGGACGGTTTCCGCTGAGCCGCACGACGAGAGCCGCCCCTCGCCGTCGATGAAGAGGCTGTGCAGATAGCCTGCAGCCGCCCTCACCGGCTGGTTGGACTCGCGCAGCAACGCAGCGAAGCACAGCCACCGCATGGCGCAGCTCTCGCCCTCTGGCTGCGCCGGCAGCTCGAAGCCGCGCTCTTGCGCCCACAAGCGGATGCCCTCCACCGCAAGCGCGGCGTGGAAGAGCAGCGAGACGGCCGCGACGCGAGCGATGTCGACGGGGTCGCAGCGGGAGAGGGCGCGAAGAAGGAGGTCCGTGGGGTCTGGGGAGACGGAGAGGTCGTGGTCGAGGAGGCGGGCGGGCGGCGGCGTGCTTGGCGAGAGAGCGGTGGAGGCGGCGGCGAGGCGGCGCGAGCGGCTGCGGTGGGGTGGACATGTACATCGCGTGAAATCATCCGTGAAAGAATTTTGGTGGGAAAAAAGTTTAGGAATAAATAGGTCGAGCCCTCATGCCTGCCTCTTCTCCCGCTCAAGCACCTCGGGCGCGAATTTGATGAGCAGCACGGTCGCCCCCTCCTCGTTGTCGTGCGCGGACACCTCTGCTGGGAACTGCGCCGCCTCGAGCACGCCTCGAACCACGCCTATCCGTGAGAACCGCGAGTCGCCTTCCCAGCCGCCCCGACTCGGGCGGTGAGGGTGTGCGGCCGCCGGCGACAAACGCAGCGCAGTTGACGGGCGCGGAGGAGATGAAGGCATTCACGAGCGGCTCCTGGGCAGCGACGCCGCGGGCTCAGACCGCACCCTTCCCGCTGGCTCTCTCTCCTCTCTCGCCGCTCGACCCGCCCCCTCGCCCCTCGGCTGCCTCCCCCGCCCTCACCCCCTCCCCGCGGCACCTTTTCCACAATCATGAATTCGTCGTCCGAGTCCTGGACTTTCTGCAGGCTGTCGGCGTGCGCGCCAAACAGCGACTTCCACAGCGCCTGACGCGAGGCGCCGGCCGCTCACCGTGCGACTGCCGCGGCGGAGGAAAGGGGCGGCCGCTGGGGAGCAGGCGCCTGGGTGATGAACTGCAGGATGCCGCGCACGCGCGTCTCTCGCTTTGAGCTCCTCTCGCGCCAGCAAGCAAGCTCCAGCGCGCGCCTGCCCACGCCGACGCCGGCGTCCTCGAGCCTGCGGGAGCGTCGGAAAAAGCGCGGCGTCGCGTGGGTGCCGCGACGTCTGTGCGCGGCAGGCGACGCGTGCGGCGCGGGCTCCGCGTGTGCGCGTGCTCACTTTGCGATGAGCTCATCGGCAGTGTTGACCCGCGTCTGCGAGTACTGAATCATCTCGGAAAAGAGGAAGGCGAAGGCGCTCTGGCTCACGACCTAGGTACGGGTCAGCGGTGCGTGCGGCCGAGGCCTGGGCGGTGGTGACAGTGTATCTGCAGGCAGAGCAAACCTCGCTGCGCTTCCGAGCCGTTCGGGTGGGGAGGAGCGTCGATACAGAGACTGACATGTGCAAGCTGAGCAACTCGCTCTCGATCGGCAGTGTCTCTCGGGCGTTCACAGCCTTGTTATTGAGAAGAAAATACCTCATATGGCGCTGTGCGCTGGCCTGTGAGAGGTTGAGGTGCGAGCCCTGGAGGCCCTGGGGATGGGGGGGGACTACCCGCGGGCTTAGAAGGCCCGCGCGCAGGGGGGTGGGGCATTGAGACCGGTCATGAATGAGTGCGCGACACGCATGTTCATTCACACAGCCACGTAGCCCCGACGTTCAGAGCTCCCAAACCCCCGACGCATAGTAGCTGTTGTAGGGCTGTTGGTGTGGCGAATCTATGGTGAAAGACTTCTCCCTTTCTTTTTGCAAAAGTGAACAAACTCGCCCATACGACGCAAAAGCATGCGCGACTTGCACTCTTTCGTGCCACTCGCTCGCCGGTACGCGGGGCATGGCCTCCCGCGCGGCTCGCGCTCACTCGGCCTGCCTCCGCCTCACGGCTGGCTGAACACGCCATGGGTCCGCCTGGTGCGGCGCTGCTCACTCGCTGCGCTGCACAAAGCTGCGAGAAGCAGGGTGGCCTCCTGAGCTTGAGCATGGCGCAGCGCGGCTGCTGGTGCTCGAGGGCGGCCGCGCAGTGGCGTGAGGGCCTGATTGGTGGTGACCTCGTGCTGCATCAGCGTGCGCAGCATGCTCCCTCACCCGGTGCTGAGACATGCTGGTGGGCGACTGGCGCCAGCTTCTCAGTGCTGTCCCTGGCGTTGTGCAGCATGTCGCAATACTCCTGCTGCGCTGACCGGCGCGCGGGGCGCGTCGTGCCGCGAGTGGAGCGAGAGGCTCGAGGCGCGCGGCTGTCGGTCAACCCTGCGGCGCATGCGCGCCGCCAAGGCTGTTCGACAGGCGACTCGCATTGTGGCGACGCGGTCGCCGTTACTCCAACTTTGCTTTGCCGATCAAAAGCGCCCGTCCTTTGCTTTTTAGCCGCCGAAATTTAGCTTGCTGTTTTTTTTCTTTATAGGCGTCTTCCAAGCTGCGTATTCTTCTTGTATTATCGTCGAGTAGTGCAGGTACTGCGTGGGGGCGGTACGTATTCCCGTATCACGTATCACTAGCTCCGAGTAGAGGGGGCGTCCTTGCAGTTAAGGGGAAACCTGGTACGCGGGTCCAACCCTCGGAGAGTATTCTTTAGCTCCGAGTAGAGGGGGCGGTCTGCTGCTAGGGGAAACCCGGAGCGCGGAGCCAACCCTCGGAGACCCGTGTTATGGCCCTGCGACCGCGCACCCCCGGGGCTAGGGCTCTCTAGCCCGTAACCCGATGCCGAGCGTCCGGCCAACTGGGTGCGCTTCTCAGCTCCCCGGTCCTGGGCGTGAGGTTGATGACCGCACTCCAAGTGCTCCAAGTGCCCAAGTACTCGCTCTCTTTTATGTCCCACCATGCAGAGCGCATCTCTCTCTCTCTCTTTCTCTGTTGTGCGAGGCGTGAACCGCGCCATTCGCTCTCACCTGGCAACCCTGTCTGCGCGTCTCGCGCGCGCGTGAACAGGGCTCCAGGCCCCAAATTACGTGTGAGTGTTAGAGTTGTTTGGTATTGCTAAAAATCTCTCTCTCTCTCCAAAAGTGAAGAAGAGAGTGAGGAAAGAAAGAAAGAAACAAAGAAAGCAAACAGCCAAGGCAGAAAAAGAAAGAAAGAAAGAAAACAGACACGCCAAACGAGGGATGGGACGAGGACAGGGTCCCCACCTGCACGAGCAGGATTTTGGAAGAACGATCAGGGGGACAGGTGGGGCTCTCCTGCTCCTGACAAGGGACACGACAGGCTCGCAGCGCGGTGCGCGGTGGACTCCCACATCCACTGGCGGTCTCATCTCAGTCTAGCGACCTGCCTCCAGCTTGTCGCTGGCAGTCTCTCCTACCACAGGCATACTGACACAGGGGTGGCAGGGGCGGCGGCACGAGTCTCCCACATACTATGCGGGCCTCACTAGAGGTGCGGCCTGTGCGTGTCCTCGCCCTTGAGGGGGGAGGGGAAGGGGCTGTGTGTCTGTGCATGTGTGTGTGTGTGTGTGTGTGTGTGTGTGTGTGTGTGTGTGTGTGTGTGTGTGTGTGTGTGTGTGTGTGTGTGTGTGTGTGTGTGTGCGTGTGCGTGTGCGTGTGCGAGCCGCCCTGAACGCCACGAGCGCGCCGCGAGCGCCGTAGCGCCGGCGAGCGCCGTCGGCAGCGCGCGACCGCCATACCCAAAAGCGGAGGTACATCAGGAGCCGCAGCCGGCCTGCTCTATCAGCCCCGCAGCCGCGGTGGCGCGACCGGACCGCGGTCGCTCCAGGCGCCTTTTGGCCCCGGTTCGAATCGCGGTTGGCGCGCGCCCTCGCGGAGCGACGCGTGGCGCGCGACGCGCGCGCGTGCGCGTGCGCGCCCAGCCGAGCCCTAGGCCGTATGCCGTCTGCCGTCTGCCGTCGGCCGTCGGCCGTCGGCCGTCGGCCGTCGGCCGTCGGCCGTCGGCCGTCGGCCGTCGGCCGTCGGCCGTCGGCCGTCGGCCGTCGGCCGCCGCCGCCGCCGTAGCGGCGGCGAGCGCTCGCCTTTTGCGCGACGCGCAGTGTGGACGCGCGCCGCCCAGCGCCTGACGTGCCGGAGCCGGTCCGGCGCGCGCGCGGGCGGCCAGCGCCTGTAAACAGACAGCTGCCGCCCACACGTTCAAAGGTCGCGTTTCTCCGGAGGGCCCATAGCCAAGGCAGACGAGATGGGGGAGACGCGGCCAGATTTCTTTTTAATCGTGCAGCCAATGGTGCAGATCATGAAGCCGGCGTGGGTCGACCACGACTCCCAGCCCATCTTTTCGATCCACGTGCACCCCGACGGCTCGCGCTTCGCGACGGCGGGGCAGGATCACCTCATCAAGCTCTGGGCGATGCGGCCTGTCGTGGACCGCGCGGCCGAGGCGGACGAGGCGGAGCCGCGGCTGCTCGCGACGCTGGACGGGCACCACGGCGCGGTCAACTGCGTGCGGTGGTCCGCCGACGGCCTGCTCCTCGCCTCGGGCTCCGACGACCACCTCGTCATGCTCTGGCGGCAGGCGGCCGCTGGCGAGGCGGGCGCGAGCGCTCCCTTTGGCTCGCGAGCGCCGCCGTCGGCCGAGCGGTGGCGCTGCGTGCTGACGCTCACGGGGCACGCGGGCGACGTGGTCGACCTCGCGTGGGCGCCGGCCGGCCACCGTCTCGCCTCCGTCTCGCTCGACAACACGGTGCGCGTGTGGGAGGCGGCGGGCGCGGCGGCGGGCGGAGGCGCGCAGCTCGGCGGGGCGCAGCAGCAGGTTGCGGTGCTGCAGGGGCACCACGGGATGGCCAAGGGGGTGGGGTGGGACCCGGTCGGCCGCTACATCGCCTCGCAGGGCGACGACCGCGCCGTGCTCGTGTGGGAGAGCCGCGAGTGGAGCCTGGCAGGCGCTCGCTGCTGGTAGAGGAGGAGGCATGGCTTGCACCCCGACTGGCACTCGAGAGGACAGTGTGCTCCACGCGCGTCGAGCAGCCCTTCCAACCATGACTACCCACATGTGATTCTCGTCATCACCATCGTCATCATCAGATTCGTCTTGCGCAGGCCGCATCGAGGAGCCATTCCTGCGAACGTCGCAAAAGACGCTCTTCCGCCGGCTGAGCTGGTCGCCCGACGGCCAGTTCGTCTGCGCGCCCCACGCGTACAAGAAGCCCGCCCACATCGCCGTCGTGCTGCGCCGCCCGACCGGCACCGACACGTCGCAGTGGAGGCAAGAGTGCGACTTTGTGGGCCACAAGGCGCCCGTCGTCGTCGGCGCCTTCTCGCCCCGCATCTTCACGCGCGGGCCGGCGGCGGCGGCCGAGGCGGCGGCAGGCACCCCTGCTCCGCGAGCCTCCTCTCTTCATTCACTGCGAGTCTTACTCGTACTCATTCCTTGACCACCGAGTCCATCCTCCACAGGCGACGGCGGCGGGGCCGCCTCCGCCGCCTACTCTGTCTGTGCGCTGGGCGGGCAAGACTGCGTCGTCTCTGTGCGAGGGCGTGTAGATGCGCAGCCACTCGAGAGGGGACAGAGACTCGCCTGTATTCCGCTGTGTTCAGCCATATTCAGGAGAGCGGTACTATAGCCCTCGTATTCACGCGGTGCTTGAGTACACTCTAACGAGACACGTTCTCACGCCCCGACTCTGGCTGACTCTGGCTGACCCTGGCTGACTCTGGCTGCGGCCTTGGCGCAGGTCTGGGTCACGTGCCAGCCAAAGGCGCTCGTGGTTGTGCGGGACCTCTTCAAGGCGCAGACACTCACCACCGCACACCACCGATCCACCGCGCTGTCACCGCAAAACACCGCACACCACCGCGTCACCGCACGCCCCCGCAGGAGGACGTGCTCGACCTCTCCTGGGCGGCGGACGGCAGCGGCGGGGAGGAGGACTCCGCCCGCGCCGGAGTGGCGTCTCCTCACACTGCACCCGCCCCCTCCCACTAGGCTCCACCCTGCTCTGCTGCTCGATGGACGGCTCCGTCGCCGCCATCCAGATCGAGCCGCACGAGGTCGGCACGCCCCTCCCGCCCGCAGAGCAGGCCGCACGCCTCTCCCAGCTCTACGGCGCCGCCGCCGCCGCCGGCGCGGCGGACCTCCCTCTCTCTGCAGACTTGCTCGCCCTCGAGGCCGCCGCGGCCCAGCCGCCGCCGCCCGCGCCGAGGCGTGCCGCAGCTGGCCCCGCCGTCCCGCCGCCCACGCCGCCGCCGCCGCCTTCTCGTGGCGGCGGCGGCGGCACGCCCACCGCCGCGCCCGCAACGCCGCCGCCTTCGATGGCTGACGGCGCGGCGGCGGGCGCGGCGGCGGGCGCGGCGGGCCCCTCGCCCGAGCAGGTGTTGCGGCTGCAGCGAGAGACAAAGACAAAGGACGGACGGCGCCGCATCACGCCCGTCGCAATCGACCCGCCCGCGCCGGAGCCGTCGCCCGCGGGTGAGGCCGCCGGCCCAAGCCACAAAGACTCGGCGGCGGCGGCGGCGGCGGCGCCGCCGCCGTGGGCGCCACCTGCGCTTCCGGGCGGGGGCGGTCTGTGTGGTCTGGCGCGCGGCGCGAGCAGAGGGATGGCCAACGGCGTCGGTGGCGCGGCCGGCGGCGCCGCCCTCGCCGCAGCCCTCAACCCCGCCCCTCCTCGACCGGCGGCGCACCCGCAGCGACCCGCCCTCCCGGCGGCCTCCTCCGCCGCCGCCTCGGCGGAGCGCGCGGCGGCCGCCGCCGCCGCAGCAGCCTCGAAGCGGCAGCGGGTGGAGCGGCCCAACGGCGCGTCGAGCGGCGGCGCAGACGGCGGCGGCGGTGAGGCTGCCGGCGGCCGGGACAGGGCGCGCCGATGGCTGCTGGCGCCGGCGACGGCCAGCGGGAGGGTGGTGCGCTCCCTCCCCTCCGCCGCGCCGCCGGGCGCGTTCGGCGCCGACGGCGGGCACGCCGTGCTCGAGGCGACGGGCGGGGGCAGCCAGGGCGGGGGCAGCCAGGGCGGGGGCAGCCAGGGCGGAGGCAGCCAGGGCGGAGGCAGCCTGCGCGGGGGCACTCTCGTCTGCTCGCGCGACGGAGAGCGCGCTTGGTCCGCGGCGCTCACCTCGCCGGCGGTGCTGCTCGCCGGCAGCGCGGGCGCGGGCTGGTGTGCCGCCGCTTGCGAGGACGGCTCGGTCGTGCTGCTCACCGCCGCCGGCCGGCGCGCGGCGCCACCCATCCACGCGGTGGCAGCGGCGGCGGCGCTGCACGCCTCGCCCGGCGGCGCGCGTTCCCCGCTCCCCGTATGTTGGCGTTTGCGAGGACATGTCCACGACACATCCGGGACATGTCCCGTAGGCGAGTCGCTCCTCCTCGTCGGCGCCGAGGGCGAGGTTGCGGCTGAGTGGCACGGAGAGGCGTCGCGCGGGCTGCGGGTCAGGCGGAGAGATCCGGTGCCCCGTAGGTTGTGGTCTGGGGCGGAGTCCCTTCTGCGCCCAGTTGCGTGCTCAGCGCGTCTGCGGCGCCGCTGTTGCGCCGCGCCGCGGGCGAGGGGGGCGCGGTGGCGCTGCGGCACGCGTCGCTGCTGCCGGACGGCTCTCCACTGCTCACCCTCTCGACGGGTTCGTTTGCGTGGCGGCGCGACCTCGCGGCGTGGGCCGCTCTCGCCGACGGTCCCTTTAGCGGCTCCACCTACGCTTCTGCGCTGGTCCACCCGCCCCTCGCGGGCGGGGGGGGAGGGGAGGGGCCCGCCGCGGCGGCGGCCCGCCTCGCTTCGATGCCGAGCGAGCGCCAGCGGCTCGTCACCACCGCCCACATCGAGCACCGGCGCGCCGCGCGCGCGCGCGCCCGCGCCCGCCGCTTTGCACTCGGGCGCGGCGCGGGGCTGGCTCACTTTGGAGGTGGATCGCCCCCATGTAGGGTGGCGGCGGCCGCTGCGCTAGGCGACGGGCAAGAGTACGCCCGATGGCTGAGGCTGTACGCCCAGTGCCTCGCGCAGCCGCCCGCCGACCAGGCGCGCGTCGAGGAGCTGTGCAGCGAGCTGCTCGGCCCGCTCGCGCTGGCGCCGGCCGACAGCGGCGTGGGCGGCGACGGCGGGTGGGATGCGCAGGCGTGCCAGACATCGGGCCCTCTCTCTCTCTCTCTCTCCCTCTCTCTCTCGCCCCGGCCCATCCCGAGCCGTCGCCGCGTCTTGCCTGAGCCCGCTCCCCGCCCCCTCTCGACGCCAGGTCGCGGGGCTGAGCAAGCGCGAGCTGCTGCGGGGCTCCGTCCTGCCCGCGCTCGCGACGAACCGACAGCTGCAGCGGCTGGTCGCCGAGTTCCTCGAGATGGTCAAGGGCGCCTGACTGGGCGGCGCTCGGATAAGGCGGTGGGTGGGGGGGGGGGGGGGGAGGGGCCGCATTGTCGGCATAGTGTGCATGTTCATTTTCATGTGCGGAGCGGGCTGGCCGCTGGCCCCCCACGCCGCGGTCGAGGGTCGAGCGAGTACAGTGTACACGACTCTGCCGTCCGGGTCCGGTCGTCTCTAACCTCGTTTTCTTGTGGCACTTGTGGGTGTTCACAGAGTTTTATGCCAGCAAAGTGTACAACACATCTCACGTCCCGCAGCTTCCAACTGTACACACGACCCCGCTTGCGCTGGGCCAGTGGGCGCTCCGGCGCGTCGCACAGGCGCCCAGCCATACCCCCGCACGCAACACACACCCCCCACACAGCTCCAGGCAGCGCGCCCAGGGGGGCAAGGCACGCCGCCCCGCTTGCGGGCGCCGGGGGGGGGCGCGTAGCGAATATTGGCCGACGCTTCACTCCTTGGCCTCCGGCGCAGGCTTGGTGCAGGTCAGCACATTCGAGAGCGAGCCCCACGACTCGTAGACGGGCAGCACGACGATGACGAGCGAGCCGATGTAGCCCCAGCAGTAGGCGACCGAGGCCCAGAGCGTGTAGTTGGCCTTGTCGAAGACGCCCCACGCGATGACGGCGAGCGGCCAGACGAAGATGAGGAAGACCGAGTAGCCAACGCCATACTTGAAGACGTACTTTGCGGCCGGGTCGAGGTACTCAGCGGTCATCTCGAACTCGGGCAGCTCGTCCTTGACCTGCGGAGGGAGGGAGAGGCGCGGCGGGGGAGGGGTGTGAGAGGCGGCTCTGTGCTGAGGGGCCTGCGCCGGCGCTGGGCGGGGTTGCACGGGCGTCGGCGGGAAGCGAACGGAAGAGAGGGGTGTGCGGGGCGCCTGCTCGACGCGCTTGATGCCCTCGCGCATCGTCTCCCACTCGAAGGGCGTTTCCTTGCCCGACTTGTACTCGATGGCCGCGACGACGAAGGCGATGATGCCCGAGACGCAGAGCGCGACGATGGAGCCGGTGGTTTGCGCGTTGATGTTGCCGAGGGTGTTCACGTCGAGCGAGCCCGTCTCGCACGTCGGGTAGTCGTCCGACGCAACGAAATCGTCGGGGTCGGAGCCGTCGGTGCAGCGCGAGGCGGCGACCGCCATCCACGAGACGAGGGCGAGGATCTGGCCGAGCCAGGCGCCCGCCATGGCGCCGTTGGCAGTCATGTAGCGCGTGCAGAGGCAGCACGAGACGGGGATGACGGCGGAGCCGATCATGGTGCCTGTGGGGGGGGGGGGGCATAAACCGCGGGTCAAAGGGGCGAGAGGGCGGGTCCGGCGGAGGGGTGGCACGGCGGGGTTGCCCATGAAGCAGTACACCCAGCCGAGGCCGACGCCCACGCCGTAGAGGAAGTAGCCGAAGAGGCCGCAGACGATGCCGTAGCCGACGACGACGAGGCGCGAGACCTTGAGGAGCTCGGCGCCGGTGCAGTCGGGCTTGATGTACTTGCGGTAGATGTCGTACGCGAAGAGGGAGGCGACGGCGATGCACTCGGCGGAGCCGGTCGAGGTGATGGCCTGCGCGGCGAGGCGGGGCGGTGTGGGGGAGGGCGAAGGGGGAAGAGGGGGCATGGATGGGTCGAAGCGCGCGCCATGAAGAGCATGATGATGATCATGATGCCGCCGCCCTGGCCGAGCAGGACGATGGCGGCCGCGGGTGGCGCGAGGCCGGCGCCGGCCTCTGCCGCGGGCATCTTGACGTTGAGCGCGAGCGACGAGAGGCCGAGCGCGGTGGCGAGCGACATGGGGATGGTGAACCAGACGAGGCCTCCGAGCAGGTAGCCGCGGTGCGCAGACGAGGGGCGCGCGGCGATGGCGGACTGCCAGTAGGACTGGTCGACGAAGACGGTGCCGAAGTTGCCGACGATGTTGACGACGCCGAAGCTGAGGCCGCCCTCGGAGAGCATGGTGAGGTACGAGCCGCCGCGGTTGCCGTTGACGGGGCCGTGGTGGTAGTCCTCCTTGACGTACACGAGCGACTCCCAAGCGCCGGGTCCCGGATTGTCCGCGGTCGGCACGTAGGCGCCATCTGGGAACGGCATGGTGTACGTGGAGTTGACGGGGATACCCTGGTCGGTCTTGGACGGGAGGTAGTTGAGGAAGCGGAGGCGCTCCCACAGCAGCGCCGCCGAGCCGAGCGCGTTGCACTGCTTCTCCGTTGCGGACGTGCACTCGATGTCGCCCGGCACGGCGTAGACATAGCTGCGGTTGGGGGGGGCGGGGGGGGGGGTGAGGAGGAGGGGGGAAGGGGGAAAGGGGTGTGTGTGTGTGGGTGTGTGGGTGGGGTGGTGGTGGTGGGTGGGGGGGGGGCCCACCTGATGAAGACGACGAGGCAGATCATGATGACCCGAGTGTGGATGTAGGAGGCAAGG